ACCGTAGCATGCTATTTTTGCTTTTTCTGTGTTCCCGGATTTGCTGCTGCTAGGCTATGCCTCTCGTCTACAACGCTTGTTTGGAATTCTGAACATGCTTTTTTTATATTTCGGACCGTCTATTGCTTAGTTGTTGATCTACACAAATAGAGAACTCTAGTAATTACATTTGTTTATGCCTAGAAGAAGTGCTACCTGATTTCAGAGGGGGGACTCGTCGAATCCACCTGCCACACCGTCTGAAGAGCCTGCAATGAAGAAGAAGCGTGAGCGTCGGTAATTTGACATGAATTCCATTTTTCTTCACGTTTTCCCCAAAAATGTTGCCATGTTGTGACTTTGTTATTTTTTCATCACTAAATGTCATTTTGAGTCTTGCACCTACGTCTTATCTTGTATCCAGAGTACGGTCTAAGACGTGAATACTACCAGGGGTAGAGAGCAAGAGGCGGCGGTTGTAGCTGGTAGTTTGGTACGTACTATCCTGAGGTCTGCGGACAACACAAACCCAGTCCCTTCAATCCCGCCAACTTTCTCTTTTTCTCTATCCATAAACTCTCACGTCTGCATGCATTTTGTGGCCACTGTGGCCCTACATAATCCAGTTTTTCCACACATCGTAAGTGATTCTCCACCCTGGAGTCCCCTGCCTCCGAAAAACTCGTCCCCTGATTCGCGACATGTCTTCTGCACTTATCCCTTGGCAGTGCAGTCGTGACCATGAATCGCAGAAAAGATTTTATTCAACACATTGCGCATCGCCATATTGGTGTCAGGTCTACTCCTCCACGTGGTGCCACTGGGTACTGCTCGCTTTGCGAGTTGCCAAACGCAGACGCACGAACGCAGGTGACAGGCCTCCGTGACGGGCCGGCCTACGAACACCCATGTCACATCAATATGTTTGTCATGCCATATGTATATCGAGATAATGCTACGGCGTCCGCGGGAGCCGACGCGCACTCGTATGGCCCGGCGAGTGTGGAAAGTATGCGAGGGTCCTCGGTGCAAGGACGGCATCGGGGGCGACCAGGCTAGTCCAAAATTCTGGCAGTGTAGCGTGTAAAGTCCGTATTGCAACGTTAAACGTTGGAACCTTGACGTTCATGTGAATTAGCAGAGGCACTGGAGCGCAGACGAATCGATCTCTGTGCAGTGCAGGAAACAAGATGGTCCAGTTGCAAGTCGAGAGACCTTGGTCGGGGCTTCAAAGCCATTCTTTGCGGCAAGCCAAGGACCACTAACGGTGTGGCCATAATCGTCTCACGACGTTTCCGTGACTCGATAGCTAGCGTGGAACGTTTCGACGACCGTTTGATGAAGATTGTTCTTGCTGTCGAGCAGCGACTGTACCACTTCTTTTCTGCATATGCTCCGCAAACGGGATGCGCTGAACAATCAAAGGACGAGTTTTGGACTCTGCTTGAGGAGAAGACAGCTGAGGTACCGTCAGAAGACGTCGTAATTGTCGCTGGTGACCTTAACGGGCACGTGGGCGCAACGAAAGAAAGGAAGGTTACAGTTGTCATGGTGATTTCGGTTATGGGACACGTAACGTCGATGGCGAACGCATCCTGGAATATGCAGAAGCCCATAATCTCGCCATCGTGAACACAAAGTTCCGTAAACGTGACTCCCACCTGATAACCTTCTACAGCGGAAGCGCCAGAACACAAATAGACTTTGTTCTTGTCAGGCATCGCGATCAAGGACTTGTCACAGACGCGAAGACCGTGCCGTATGAGACAGTAGCCTCGCAACATCGCCCGCTTATCTGTACGCTAAAGATAACACCGCCCAGGTCGAAAGCGATGTGGTCCCGAGAGAATCAAATGGTGGCATTTGAAAAAAAGGAGGCAGCTGTGATCTCTCGCATTCGATTACCAACCGTCACAACTGTCGACGAAACGTGGAAGAATGCTGCCAAAGCGATAGCCCAAGCCGCTCGCTCTGAACTTGGCACAACGAAACCTGGAAGGCGTAGAATTGAAAAGCAGGCATGGTTGTGGACAGATGACGTCAGGCTAAAGGTTCGCGAGAAGAAGAAGCGCTATCACTTGTTCCTCGAAGACAAGTCAGCTGACAACTGGCGGAAATATCAGGAAGCGAAAAGTACGGCAAAGAAGGCTGTGGCTGCTACAAAAGCCGCTCACTTCAAAGAAGTCAGCGTGCTCGTCACCGCCAGACCGAAGATGTGGAGAAGTTCTTTGGCATCAACGACGAGAAGGGCCGCCTTCTGATGGACCGAACAAAGGTGCTGAGGCGATGGCGCGACTACTTCGAGGAAATTTTTACAGTGGAATGTACACACCCGACCATACCTTGCGCCTCACCAATATGTGGTCCCGTTCAGAAGATAAGCGTGAAGGAAAAAAGGTGACTTTCAAGAAGATGAAGGCAAGGCAGCGAGTCTTGACGACGTGGCGGCCGAAGTATGAAAGTTACACTGCTGGCATTCTGCCGAATGGGAGGCAACATTTTGTAATCA